TTTCCCTGCTGACTATCCTCTTTCTTTGGTAAGATAATGTTTAAATCAGATGATTTATAACTGAATGGAGTGAAAAAGAAAAAATAACCTATACTAATAAATCTTTAAAAATTTTAATAGACTTGGTGAGTGTTCAGTCTACACCTACTGTATTTAAATTATACTTAAGTTCTTTTAGCACTGCAACATTTACTAGTTTTATGAGGGTTTTAATAGGTGAACACAATGAAGTTGTATCCTGAACTGGTCCTGACGGACACTATCATCAACAGAACTTCATTTACTTTAGTGATAATAAAATATACATGTTCTCTAGCTGGAGGTGTTTGATTGCAAAAGGCTCATGTTCTAACAAATCACTTGTTATCTAAATTATGTATGATAATGATCCAATCAGATCTAAATTGAGGTTGTAATTCTCAGAAGGATAGAGAGTCTATGTAACCAAACCACATGTTCACCTTTACAGAAGACAGAAGGTAAAGTAATGACTTCCAGCCTGGAACAGTGAGGATTCATTCATGTTCACAGCCAAAAGAGCAGTGCAGAAGCAAGAATATTAGCCACAAGCTGCTGAATTCTGTTTCACTATTCCAGTGCCATTTCCGAAGGCCATTATTCCCTTGCTCTCCTGTTTCTGGAATGTAAGTTTCTACAGAACATGCATGTTTTCTGTGCTGCTGCCTCCTCCTATTCTCTTCAGTAGTCCTGTTGTTATATGGCAATATAAATACCAGTGCTCAGCTGCTGCATGTAGCTCTGTTCTTCAGTAGTTACGGAATCTGGACTTTGGGAGTTAGCACATGCCCGCATATTTTTCAACAATTGACTAATAAACCTTATTTTTAATACTTCAAGGTTACAATTGCTAACATTTCCAATTTGGATAACTCTGCAAAATTTAGGTAGGGAATACATGGAAGAGAAAGCACATACTTTCTGGTGTGCTGCAAATCCATGTGGAGGGGGAGTACAATTCTGCAATATGTTGATGTATGCACATGAACATCCACAGACATAAATGTACATACATACACATATACAGATGAGACATTTCCTGAGATTTAGGGATGTGAACAGACTGTAAGCTCTCTGAAGCAGGACAGAGGACTCTTCAACACTTTTACAGCTTCTAAAACACAACAGGTACTAGCCTTTGGCTTGGTCACCTAGACTGTATAGAAACAGTGGCAACAGTAAGTCTCACACTACCACAAGTAAGTTTGCAGTATTTGTGAAGAAAACTCTTAGACTTTCAAAGACAATGACTTCTTCAAAATAAACCACTTACTGTTTCAAACAATTTCCTACAATTTTCTTAAATGGTTTTATAGTACCTAGACACAGCTCTCTCTCAAAATCTACTGCACTATTCAAAGCCTATATCCAAATTTGCTTACCTAATCACACCTCTACTATCATGTAATTTAAATTTTCGTTTGACTGAAGTACAAGTATTGAGAATTGAGGTTAGAAAGAACATTTATGACCTCAGGAATTTACAAAATAATTGAATGAGTCAATGTTAAATTTAGACTCCAAAGTGGCTGTAATGTAAATAATACGGAGACTTGGAAAAGAACCGCCATATAAATCAGTAGGTTTCTTGTCCACTGCTCTCTAATCAACATTTTTTGAAGAGTGTACCTACATGACACATTCAAGATCTATATAAGAAGTACTGCATCAGTATTTTTTTCTTCTTTCCCTGCCAACTATGTCCCTTTATTGCCTTTGTCCTCTCTCCCTCTCCCAGCTCTTCATTCCAGTCTGTGACTCAGTCTCATAGTACTGGCCATGCAAGGATGTCTTCATGCGATACACTGACCCCTGAGCATGCCTCAGTCCCCCTTCCAATGCTGTTACAATACACCATGCAGCAGAACTGCTTAGCTTAATTTAAACAGTCCAATGTTCCATCCTGGCTAATAGTTCTCATCCCTTTCTCCCTATACTACTTTCTCCCTTGTGCAGGAAAACGGATGGGAGAAGTGATCCAGCTGAAATACCTAATTCTGATCTCTTCCTCAGATCTTCCCACCTCCCACATCGCCAGTGAGCTGGGAAAGAAGAGGGGACCACATGGTGACCTCAGCAAGCCACAGACCCACCCTGCCACCAGAAGAAATCAAATCAAACCTGAACCTTGACTATGGAGTTAAGTCCAGCAAGACCTGCAGAATTAAGAGACGAAGACTCTTGAAGACTTCAAGGTCTTGACTCCAACACTCCTGCCAGTCCATAATCTCTTTTTATCTTACCAATGCAAAGGACAGGAGAAATAGGGTTTCTCTGAGCTGAGTGGTTGAGTCTTGCCTGTTTTTTTCTGAACAAGCATTTAACACAGGCTTTATCATCACTTGAGTAGTGATAACAGAGCAGACTGTAGAGTCTTTTCACCTTCAGGATGCCATCTAGGGAACTTGTCATATGAAGTAAACTCGAAAGAATGAGCATTATTTCTATTCAGCTGCCAGTTCTCTTCTGCATAGCACTATGAAACTAAACTTAGACTCATAAGTAATACGGTCTGATCATGCAGGCTGTTCACTGTTTCCTTCCCCTTAAACAGGAAACAAAATGTACATTTTTCCTATCATTACTTTGCATACTTGAACATGACAGATTTAATCTTTTATTTAACTTTCAAATCTGCTATTCACTCCCTGGTGGGATAAAAAAGATTTTCTTTTTTCAGAAATAGGCGCACTTAGTTCTTTAGACCTCTTATTATAGGAGATTCATCTCTGTTACCAAGGCCTCCACTCAGTTACCTCAAAATACTTAGCTTTTTACCTCAGGAGAACTTTCTGAAAGTACAGTTTTAGTAGAAACAGCTGTACAATCCACATAATTTTTTGATGGACAAGCACATTAAGCTTCACATTAATAATGTAAAATTAAAGTAAAAAAATGAGGCACAACAAAATGGTGGAAGGAGTGGTAGTGGTTCCTCTCCATGCCACCGAGACCTTATGACATTGCACTTCAGATACTCAGCCTTACACAAAACTAAACCTCAAAAAACCCCCGAGTATGGAAGATGATATGTAAAAGTGAAGAATGTATTTTTATTTCTTTTTAGATTTTATACTTCAGTTTAAACCCTGACTTATAAAAAAGGACAGAATGTGGTTCACTGCTAATATGACAATACTCATCTAAAATTCAACAATTTCTCGTGAAAGGTTCTGCCATCCTACACACAAATAATTACAGTATAAAATGAAATCCTAGCACTCTAAAAAATCTCGCAAGAGTTCAATCATATTTTAAAAATTCAGATGCTTAAAAATTACAAAGCACCTTTTTTTTTTAAAGAGCAAAATATATCAAAAGATCTGTCTAGCATTTGGACAAGACTATTACAATTTGTAATTACTGCAGTGTAAATAGAGCATGAGCCCTGGTATCATTATACTTACCATCATACTCTGGAAAATAATCAACTAGATGGGAGTACATAATTTTCTCCTCTAAGAGATCTTTTTTATTTAAGAACAGAATGACTGAAGAGTTCTGGAACCATGGATATGTGATAATTGTCCTAAACAGTGCTTTACTTTCTTCCATTCGATTCTGGAATAAAAAAGAAAGCAGAATTGTGGTGGTCATGAAAATAATTTCTGAATTTTTTAAAAAATAAATTCATGCATTTTCACTTTATTTTGTAAATGCATCCATTTCATGTTTTGCACCTTCCTACCAATGTGTAAGGTTCAAGTAATTAAATTACAAATAATAAGTAAGCAGTTAATTAAATACACAGGCATTTTCCTTTTCCAAATTCAACTGCTCAAGTGTAAGTATTCTTTAAAACACAGGTCATGAACATGAAAGCTGTTAACAAGTACGTTTGTAAAGTCTGAGCATGCACAGTTATGACCAGCCAATGAACTGGTGGGTACTGAAATGCATGTGATTCATGGTAGGGACAAGTATACCACACGAAGACATAATAATCAATTCAAGGTTTAAGAACTTTATTAATTTTGTAGGCCTTTCCTGAACTTTAAATGCAGAGTTAGATAATTCTTAGAAATAGATCAGCTTTAAAATAGCTGCAAGTAAATTTGGAATCTTAGAATATTTTGTCAAAACCAAAGGCTTACGACATAAAATCTTAAAAATCTGTAAATTTGTTTCTAACATCGTTGGGTTGGCCTTTACTTTAATTGCTTAACTGCTCCTGAAAACCACTTTGCATTACAGCTGAAATATAAGTGAAGCCTACAGTTCTATTTGTAACATTTCCTGTTATTGTAAGATTATGTTATCATTTGATACAGTTCTGAAGAGCTGTTAGGCTGACATGATGTGGTTAATACAGACTCAGAACAAACTGAGTTCAAAACAAAAGAATTAACTTACTCTTTTTATTATTTGAAGCTGCAGCCCTGTGAAAAAAACTGTTTCACCACCAAACGGGGCTCCAGAGAACAACAGCAAGGATGTGAATCCTGCAGATTCTGCTGTTGCTGAGCCATACAACAAACTGTCAGATAACTCAAGACAATTTTGCGATAACTGTATCTTTACTTGCAATAATTTGCATTTTGAAGAGACCAACATGAAGAATAGGAATTTTTTAAAAAAAGAAACAAACAAACAAGAAAACCCCCCAACAACCAAACCGTTAAAAAATTCCATTTTGTAGAAGCTGGTGGTTTAGTCTCTTATGTCACCACAGAATCTTCAAGCAATTTATAAAACTTTACTGCATGCTGGAGTGGTGGTGAAATAAACAGTCAAATTTATGGACTGAGAAACTAATCCAGAGGAGTAAAACCTTCGCTTTCTTGCAGTCAGTTCTTATAACTCACACTGATTTCAATGGTGCCAGGATTTCATTCAGAAAGGAGAAAAACTGAAATGTCAACAGAGCTGAGCATAAAACCTAAGTCCTTAGACTGTTAATCAGACCATGTTTTCTTCTTAACGTTCTATATAGACTTCTTCTCTAAACAAGGCTTTACAAAAAGGCCACGGGAACTACACAGGATAGTTCTCACTTTTACAGCTTGATCAAAAAGAGAAGGCAATGTAAAATTACATGCTACTGTTTATATTACAAATATTTACCTAAACTCATTAACACTTGGTATCCTCTAATGTGACACTCAGAAGGTGAAGCAGCATCATGACTCAATTCGCAGTGTTCTTTCACAGTAAATTTATAAGCTATTGAAAACTACTCAGCACAGAAAACACAAAGAAATTACTTATCTAGAGTAAGTACTCCTGGTTTTCACAAAAAACCCTTCAAGAGGGTTGCAGAATTTTCATGTATAATGCTGATTTTTTTCCATTTACATAACACAGAATTACAAATAGAAAATAAATATATCGGTTTGGATAAATTTATGACCCATCCTCCAGGAATGCTCAAGAAAACTGTGTTTTGCAAACACTGTTATTAGACACGGAGCACACTTTCATTTTCTGTTTGAAAGGGTTGCCAAGCAAGATGAAGCAGAAAAGGCATGTAGACTAAAGCTACATTGATACCATGCCTAAACCAATTCCTGGCATCCTATCAGCTGTAAGTGCTCTATATCATAAAAATACCAGGAGACATACACAATAAAGAATAAAGTATCGTATCTTCAATGTAAGAAGAGTATGTCCCGTATTATACATTAATTATGAATTCTGTATAATATGAATTGCATTCCACAGAGTCACTTTTTTCCTATTATAGTTTTATAAATGTCTCTCAAGTCCTTTCACACTTGATTTACAGCATCTGACTTAAACCTCTCCTTGACGAGGTATCTACTAAGGATTCCACTGAACAGACAGACCACAGATGAAGCAAGTTTCCATGATTTCAAAGATTGTTCAATTAATTCAAAACCAACCTGGGATGCCAAAAAAGGATACTACTAAGAAGGCAGTGTGAAAGAGCTGATTCAGAAAAAATAATTTTATATCAAAGGAAATAATTATAGCGTTCAGAAATGTACAGAAGTGGTCAATATGTGCCATCTAACACAAATGAAAGAAACGCTCACCTGCTTTAGAAAAAATACATAGTTCAGGATGTCAGTAACTGAACTCAATAAAACATTACCACATTATCGCACCCTCATTCACTTCTCTCTATTCCTTAGTATAGTTTAAGTTTCATTTCATACAGAAGCCAGTTGCCTCCAGAAGTTAACCAGTTAACTATATTTCCAGGAACAGCCAGGCTAAATCTGAATCTATTCCTGATTCCAAGAGAATAGGCTTTAAAGAGGCAACAGCAGTAGAGTGTTGCCGTGCTAATATTGTGTTAAACTATCTGATCCTAAGCCAAATTAACAGAAGTCACAGAATTGTCGGAAATGATAAAAAAATGCACATTACATTGCCAGAGCCCACTGAAGTAGAATTATTTCTTACAGTATGAGGATCTTGCCTGGCACAGTCATACCAGATGAGGATATTGGGAAGGCAAGACAATGAAGTCTTGGGCACCAAATGGCAGCTCTGAGGAACAGTAACTATCTCAGCATAGGGATTATTTCAGAGTGTACATCACTACAGAACAGCCCTTACTGCACCTCCATCTGCAGAATGAGGCAAACAGCATGGATTAAGACATCAGGAAGGCTGCAGACACATTGTCTAAGGAGCTAGCAAAGGATGACGAGCTGTCTGAAGCTGTTAAGAAAAAGGTCACTCTCCTTAAGACCCGTAACTGACAGGTCTACAAATTCCCATGATCCTTCTCAAGGGAAAGACCACACAATGCTATGTTCTGCCCTTACAACAGAAGCATGGAAAAAAGACTTAGGATATCACTGGTCATCCTCTCTCAATGTATGTCACATTGCAATGCTGCACAGACAAATATGCCTTCACAAAAGACATACGTAGTAAGATGGCACTGATAGAATTTCAAAAGGTCAGATCAGTCAATTCCAGGAATTCAACGCAGATTTCATATAAATCGTATTTTTAACAAGTGTCTTGCAAAGCCTCATAAAGATATTAATCAAGAAAATTCCTTTTCACTTCATTGCATGACATACATAAAATTATGTATATATTACTAAATGACTGCTATGGTTAATGTTATTTCACCAGAAGAAAACCTTAATCTTAAATGCAATGATGTCATGAAGGAATTGTCCACAGGCATGTCTGTTTTCCCTGATTGTATCAGGTGGTCTAATAAAATTATTGCCTCCTTATACAGACCTTGCTTGTTTTAGCATTTGTGTTGTCCACGGGGATATTCTGAATGAAAAATGCCAGTTGTATCTGACAGCATCATAAATTACAGGGCTGTTATTGCAGTCATATGTCACACTAACACCACAGTTTTGACATCTACAGCTCAAACGAAGGCAGACCAAAATCCCTAATTGAGCCTTAACTCTGTGTTTCAGGGGGAGGAGGGGGTAGGTGTGTTCAGCTCTTTCATAACTTTATTATGCATAGACCTAATAATGATATCATAGATGAAAACTCAAGGTGACTCAGAGGAGGGGAAAAAAACTAGTAAGCAGATACCCTAACTTCACACTCAGGTTGTGGCTTTTTTACTATTTTTTTCTGCCTCTTCTTAGTGCCATGAACTGCACCCATAATATGGACAATGCTATCAAGTTTAAGAAAACAAAGTACTTAACATGCCCTAAAGAGAAGACAGATACTCACTGTATACTGATGATACCTGTATCTTCTCTTGGTGTGCAGTCGTAACATAATAAAACCTAAAGGGTCTATTTCTTCTGTTCCCTTCCTGTAACTCCCAGCTTCAGCTGAGTGTTTTTTCCATAACTGAGCCCTTCCTTAGCAAGTAAATAAAAATGTTTACCACTCACCTGAATTATGGGAAATCTCATTGGCTTTTTCCCTTTCCCAATCCTTAAGAGGAAGGCAGACAGGATCTCATTAAATACATAACTAAACTCTCAGCACTTTTTAAAAACTGTCCCCAAAGCCAGTACTGTAAACTTGAAACTAATATGTGTAATTACTAAAAACAATCAGACTCTGGCTTGTCCTTTTGAAACTATTGCACATATTGAGTAAAACCATTTGCTTTTCATAGTTTCTGTTTTAACAGAGAAGAGTCAGAAAGTTTAAAAGGAGGCAAAGACACACCAAAAGAAGCAGAGAGATTAAATGTTATAGCTTCAATACTAACGGAAAGTGATGGAATTCCCACGAAAACACGGCAATCTGTAATTTTGAATTTAAGGTCTGTTTTTGTTAAACATCACTAAAGAACTCAGCATAGTTATAATTAAGAGCAAGGGCAGTCAACTTATATGGGGGTAACTGATAAATATCCAACACAAGCTCTGCAGACAAACATTACGAGAAGAATGAATTTCTTACGTTACTAGCATGTAATGAAGCTGGATTCAGCAAAGCACTTTAGCACAATTCTAATTATAAATATACATGTACTTCTGCAAAGCTATTCCTTTGCTTCTCACTAGGCTTAAGTCAAGACCTTGCTGTCCAATGCTCTGCTAGAAAACAAGTAGGAATGTATCATCATATGCTCTTCCATTCCAAGTAGCCCTTCCCAAGAGGCAACCTTCTACACTCTCTGCACTAAGGCATTGGGATGTTTA